TAACCGGGTTTATAAAGCTTTGTGGATTACAAGCTAATATACACAAGTCATTTGCCTTCTCTATATATTAAACAATATTTCAAGGCTGGGTGTGGCTCACATCTGTAATCCCAGCACTTTGGGAGGCCGAGGCGGGCAGATCACACGGTCAGGAGTTCGAGACCAGCCTGGCCAACATAGTGAAACCCCATCTCTACTAAAAATACAAAAATTAGCCAGGCATGGTGGTGCATGCCTGTGGTCCCAGCTACTTGGGAGGCTGAGGCAGGAGAATCACTTGAATGCAGGAGGCTGAGGTTGTGGTGAGCTGAGATCGGGCAACATTGCGCCTCCAGCCTGGGTAACACAGCAGACTCTGACTGAAAAAATAAATAAATAAAAATAAAATTCAAAATAAAAATAAGAAAGCAAATTTAGTTATAAGACCATCAAAATGCTTAGATATGAATTTAACAAATAAATGCAAGACTTTAACTTAAAGCTATGCAACAATGCTGAGAAAAATGCAAGAATAGTTAAAAAGATGGAGATATATTGTATATTCATTGATTGGAATTCAATCTTGTCAGGATGGAAATTTTTCCCAATTTTATCTATTGATTTAATAAAACTCCTAATAAGATTCCAGCAGGCTTTGTGTAGAAATTGACAAGCTCATAGAAAAATTTATAGAAAGCTACAAAAAGAATCCATAGCATAGCTAAAATGATTTTTGGAAAAAAAGAAGGAAAGGTTGAATGACTACCCAATTTCAAAACCTAACATATAGCCATATGCATTATGTATTTTTCTGGTCAGTGGGTTATTAACATAAAAAGGCATATAAATCAAAAAATAATTGATATGCCAGAAATCAACTTTCATTTATCATAGGTCAGTTTTAACAGTCGCTAAACAAACAAACAAATGAGGAAAGGACAGTCTTAAAAGAAAAAAGTGTCATAACAATTGTATGTGTATACGTGAACCACATAATCTAAATAATTATCCCACACCATATAAAAAATAAATCAAATGGATTAGGAATCTAAACAGAGGAGCTAAAATTATAAAATATATTAAAATGTCTTCATGACCTTGGGTTAGGCAAAATATTATTAGACACCAATTATATGACACCAAAAGATATGATATAAAAATGACAAAATGGACTTAATTAAATAAAGGAAAAACTAATAAATTGAATTTCATTCAATAAAAACTTTTGCTATCCAAATGTCAACAAGTGAGAAAATGGAAAGCCAAGGCAAGGAGAAAATACTTTCAAGTTACGTATATCATAAAGGACTTTTATTCAGTATATATACAAAGAACCTCCATCTCCAAAGAATGTTCTCAATCATAAGAAAGCTGATAGCACAATTTAAAAATAGTTAATAGATTTAAATAGACATGTCATTTTGAAGATGCCACATGATTAATACACCTACCAGAAGATGTTCAGGTCAATAGGTCATTAGTGAATGAAAATTGAAGCCACAGTGAGATACAATTGTACATTCACTAGAATGACTAAGTATAAAGAAAACGGACAATATCAAATGTTGGCAAGAATGTGGAGAAACATAAATCTGACACATTGCTGATGAGAATGTTAATATGGCACAGCTTAGTTTGGAAACAGGGTTAAGAAGCCCCTAAATGTTAAACATGAGTATTCCATAAAAATCCAGTGATTCCACTCCTGGGAATCTTTTCAAGAAATATGAAAATATCTATTCCCTCAAATAATTGTATATGAATTCATGATTCATAGGAACCAAAAATTGAAAGCAGATGTCCACTGAAGGATGAATGGATTAACAAAATGTTGTGTATATTATGAATTACTCTTTAGCAATATAAAGTACCAACTACTCACGTGATAAGCAACATGAAAATTCTTTTTAAAAAATGTTATGCAAAGAAGTCAATCATAAAAAGACCACCTACTCCATCGCACCTTTCAATAAAATGCCCAAGTGGGTTTGGGTACAAAGATTGACAAACAACAGAGCTCTTCTTTTGCAATGGAATTTTTGCTAAAACTGTGCATTCTGATGATGCTTGAGTAGCTCTATACATTTGCAAAATTTATTGAATTGTAGAATTGCAGTGAATGAATTTTATAATATATAACTTACACTGCAATACATTTGTTAAAGAAAAATATTTCATGAACTCTAGAGTAAACTTTGTGATGTTTTGCTACATACCTATGTCTTTTACTTTTCTTCCTTCCTTCCTTTTCTTTTATGTCTTTCTTGTGTGTGATTTTTTAAGGTCCATTCTGTGAGGTGTCAATAAACCTTGTGTTTCTCTGCTCTACAAAAAGAGGAATTTGCCCAAATAGCAGCTCTGGCTTACACTTATGAATGCCCAAAAGGATCTTCCAGCCAAAATGGTGAAACTGATGTCAGTGAGTGTTCATTAATACTGTGTGAGAATGGTACCGACGGCATCAAAATATCAAATGTAAGTCTCAATCTAACATACAAGTGAGTGGTTTCCAATTTTTTTTTACTATTACTAAGCAATTTGAAAAGAATAAATAATAGAATTCTCAATAAGGTAATTTAATTGTTAACTCAGAAAACAAAATAATCTACTTATTTTTAGCTTTTCCTATTTATATAGAAAATCATGTTCTTCCACATCGGTATTTTGCCTTTTAAAAGAATATACATTTGTATACTCTTCATTTTTACTTACTGCTTTTGTTCATCTTTAGTTATTCAATATTGTTATACTTTAACTTTTCAGTTTAACATTTGAATAAATAAGAGTAGGAAATATTTTGTTAGCAGTTCTCACAAATTACTGTCTTTCAATTTAGACTCATATTTATCATTAACTCTTTAAGGAACTTTAAGAGTTTATTTTTCCAACCTCCTGAACGTTTTGTTAGTAACACTTGGAAAAGAATTTTTTTCCCTGGAGAACTGTCCATTTTATCAAAAAAATTGCTGAACTTTTGCTGAGAAGAATTAGTGAATTATATAGAACATAATATACAGATAAAAGCTTATAGAAGAACATTTTTTACTCCACCTGAAATTACTTCTACCATGCGCAAAGATTTGTTACCAATGTACAATATACTAGACCCAAATATTTGGAGATACAGGGGCAAAGAGCAATAATACAGTTTTTCTAAAATCAAGGAAACTATTGTTGTAATAGGCAGACTATGCCTCATCCACACCAAAAAATTAAAAATAAAAATAAAATGAATAAACATGTCTATGCACTAACTTCTGGGAATATGTGCCTGTGTTATGTTACCCAGCAAGAGGAAATTAAGATTGCAGATGGAATAAAGGCTGCTAATCAGCTGATGTTATCCTGGATTATTTGGGTGGATCCAGTGTAATCACAAGGAACCTTAAAATAGAGGAGAGAGATGAAGAATCAGAGTCAAAGGGAGATTCGAAGGATGTAATGAGGCTGGTTTTAAACATGGAGTGAAGGAATTACAAAAAAAAAAAATGAATGCAGCTTCTGTAGGAATAAGCTGGAAAAGTGAGGGGAACATTTTCCTGTAGAGCTTCAGAAGGGACGCAGCAGACATCTTGGTTTTTTATCTTCTGAAACTTTTCAGACTTATGACCTCTGAACTCTAAGAAAATGATTTGTTGTTGTTGTTGTTGCTTTGGTTACTAAGTTTGTAATAATTTGCTATATAAATAAAAGTTGTTATATAAATAAAAACTAAATATACACCCAGAACTAATAATAGTATCATTTAAAATGTTTTGCTTTTTAAACTTGAAAATAATGAACAATTGAACACATTCTTTAACTTATTTAGTTAAGAGAATCTTAAGACGTGACTTTTAATTGATGTATGCTTAACTATTCATTCATAGAAGTGCTTTAATTTATTTTCCTTCTATTATTCATTATTACTATCTAGGAAGAATTATTTTGTAGGTAAATTACTTGGAATATTGTACATTTTATCATTTGTATTGCTGCCATGTATGAGCTTATAAGCAAGCTTATATAATCTCTCTTTTCAATGTTAGTTTTGGATAAATTAAATAAATTTTTATTAGATTCATGAGGTATGTAAGCAAAATCATCAATTTTAAGTATCTGGGCTTTTCACCTTGGAATCACTTAATAAATCTTGTTGTTCAGATAAATATGATAATGAAAATGATGGTAATGGTGATAATATTGATAATGATAATAAAGAAAAAAGAGAAGAAAAATAAGAGGGTAAAAGAGGAAGAAATATGATGACTAGAGGTATCTTGAATGGCAGAAATTAACTTTGCCCAGCAAATTTAATTTTGTTTTATTTTACCTGCCTCCAAGTGGATACATGACTGTTTCAGGTGCCAATGGTTTATTTTCTCATGCAGAATCAAACCCAAAACTTGGTGGCTTAAAATAATTATTTTATTATTATCTCTTATGATAAGTGAATCAATTTGTCCTACCCAGCTAAGATGTTTTTAGAGTCCTCTGAGGTTGCCATCAGAAAGTGTCTAGACTTGGACTCTGACCCTTTGAAAGTTCTCTCTTATTCAAGGCTGTTTGTATACGTTGGTTTCCAGGTTGGCCCACAACTGGGCCTATTAGGCCACAACCCCAAACATGATTTCTCCATGTGGCCTGCACTTCCTGGAGAGCAGAGTGGCTAGAGTTCAAAGAGCAAAGAACCCTAAGATAATTAGATAGAATCTATATGGCGTTTAAAGCATCCTCTCATCCAGGGTCACAACCTGCTTACATTCAAGAGGAAGGAATGTAGACCCTGACTCATAATAGAGGAGTTTTGATTTCACATAGCAGGAAGACTGTGTGAGATGGGAGAAGGTGTTGTGACATTTGCGCTTAGAATCTGCCACAATGTTGACAGATAATTTCTACTCCAAGTTCATGAAAATAGTTTTAGCTCCTCCAGGTAAGAACCTATCTATTGCCTTTAAAATATCCAAAACTACTTTGTAAAAAATGTTTTTTAATCTTTCAGATGTTATGTGCATCTGTTCACCAATATTTACAGATATGTTGCTTACAAGAGCATTCAAACATCATGTGAGTCATTTCCTTTGAAGAATAATGCTACATTTAAGAAATGTGAGAAAGATTATCATTGCAGGTATAATTAATTTTCTGTTTATTTTAATATAAAATAGCAGATTTTTAAATCATGTGAGAAACTATAATGATGTTCTGTTTTAACCCTAACTTTTACTTAATTATATATAATATTCTATTTTAATTTAAAGTAAAATTTTGTTCCATGTTTTGGATTAATTGTTATGGTATTAATTTAAAATAAATATTTGAAATTATATCACATAATTTAGGTGTATGGTTATGTTAAATACTTTGTTTCATAATGAGGTTTTAATATAACTAAATCATAATTGAAGGTCTAGAAAGAAAAGAGAGATGTATGTCTCCGTAGTATTATTTCTATTATACACATAGTGTTGAAATATTTTAAAATAATAGAATAACTATTTCTTCCTGTATTTCACAGACTCAGCAGGATAGATATTAAATAGGCTTTAGGCAGACTTAGGAATTCATTATTTCTTAAGTATAATTTCATACAGATTAGCCTAATATAAATGGCAGAAGTGACTCAAATATCTGGGCATAATTAGCCAATTTTAAATAGCTTTATAGATATTTTCACATCATTAAGAAGTACAATTTGTACTCTTCACACTTGCTTGACTTTTATCTGGCTGCTTAAAGTAAATTTGCTGGGCATTATTGAAAAGCAGTAAGTAGCCTTAAAATTTTAGAATAATTCATAAAAGCAGAAAATTAACATGTGGGGTACAGAATAGCCTTGGAACACACTGAAAAGAAACTTAGAATATGCATCCACTTCACACTGTACAATACTTTAATCTATTTCAAAGGAATCCAAATTTAAATTTTTTTTTAATTAACCTTTGAAATGACTTTTTCAAAAGAAGTGACAATAAACCTCATCATTATATCAAGATACTGAAAACTCTAACCCATTCGGTCAAATTTTTGCATACCTTCAATCGTGTATTAATTCATCAGTAAACCTAAATACTATCCCTTTAAAAACATTTACTTTTAATTTACAATTCTATTTCTATTCCTAAATATGCTAGTATATTAGTGAATGTACTTAGAAAAAGATCAACTTAAAAAAAAAAAAAAAACCAGACACATCTCCTCCACAAACGTAAAACTGACTGATTAGAAAGAAAACGCTAACCTCTGGCTCTGCTGAAATAATTGAGATATAATAAATATTAATTAAGTGTGAAGTTGAAATAATGACAGAAATTAAATCCTGAAATCTTTTTTTTCTGTTCTCATATGAGTCAAAAGAATATTAGTGAATATAATAATAAATAAAAACGACTTGACTTCAATGCTTTATGTTAGATACTTATGTGTGTTAATAACTTATGAGGCACGCTTGAGGTCAGTGACTCTACCAGCCTTGAAATTAGAACTTCTTGAAGAGCTAAAGTACCAAATGGTTGTTCCTTGTCTCTAGTGTTTATAATTTAATAGGTCTGACAAATGAGGATTGCAAAATGTACCTTTCCAACAAAGTCGTATGATGCTGATGCTCCTGATCTAGAGACGCCATACTTTGAGAACTGTTAGTCAAGATGAGCTTACCTTAAACAGCATCAATGTGGGAAATTGTCTTATACCTTCCACCTAGTTTAACTATTCTTTTCTACTGAAGTTTTGTTCTTCTGAATTTGGGAGAAAAAATATGTGTTAAGGTGAAAAGGAGTCAAATGTGGAAAGGAGAAGAATAGAGTGATTATGATGATACTAGTTTCCTACCCAATATATGCTATTGATCTAAATTTATATGGGTAGATGAGAGAAACTGAACAGAATTACCTCCCTTGAGAAAGACAGTGAAACATTGGTTATGGAAATTTTTATTTGGTACCAGTAATTATAAAGCAATACAGTTAGAAAGAAATTAATTTTCCTGTAGTTAAAAATCAGAAAAATTCTCACTACCTAGGACTGAAAAAGCTGTAGGTGTCTATGGGAAGTTAGCATAAAAATGTTATTATTATGAGCAGAAAGAGTTGTAAAGTATCAAAAGTGGCAAAGCTGGGAGCAGGTAGCACACAAGTAGAGCCTGATAGGAAAGGAAAAGGAATAATTGATGTCTTGGAGGTATCAGACAGATTGAATACAATTTGGTGACTTCTCTTAAATTACAGAAGAATGATTTGATTGTTTATGTACTTCTTTGGATAATAATTTGAAAATAATATGGTGTTTGTGAAATACAACAATTGCAAAAATGCAACAAACATTTAAAAAGGATACTTGACCAGTATTTGGGTGGTGGTTTAGCCATCCAAATACTAGGAATTCCTAGATAATTCCTCTAACTTTTCTCTAGCATTACTGCTCTCCGTCTTACAAAGTGAGATAACTTTTTCACCCCCTACTTGCTTGTTTGGCCCTAGAAGGTAAATTTTTTCAAGGTATATTTGGCACTTTATGTTGATACTTTAACCATTTGGAAGAAAGTCTGCACTTAAGATTAACAATGAAACTCCTACTAGAGGTTTTAAAGGGAAATGAAAGTCACACTTGACAGTGACACTAAGAAACTGTATGTATTCTTAGTGCATGTAATTGTGCAACTGGAGTGTCATTTTGGCAACTGAGGTCATTTTGCAACTGGGAGGTCATTTTGGCAACGAAGTTCAGCAAGACAAAGCCAAAAACAGATATACATCTGAAAGGATTAAAAACAGAGCCAGAACAAGGATCAATTTTCTTATGAAGAAAGAACTGCCTATAGACATGTCTAACAATATGAGCCAATAATTCCTGCATTGATTTAGTCTGTTTGAGTTAGGATTATGTTATTTATAACTGAAAACTTTCCACGTAAATATGCTGAAATTCTTTACAAACCACTAAGTTAGATTGCTCACATATTGTAAATGGTTAATCTTTAGCCATACAAGTAGTTTTATTGTGCACTAAATTATTAGTTATCTATTAAAGCACAATCAAATATTTTTGTAATATTGCTGACTACTTTATGAAATGATTGAATTACTAGAAAACCTACTCTACTGTAAGATATTCAAGAAGAATGTGTTTTTATTCATTTTTGCCTTTTTACTCTTTTCTCCACTCTTCTTCTCGCTTCATTTCATTCATTTGATCTTCAATTGCTGATACTCTTTCTTCCAGTTAATTGAGTTGGCTACAGAAGCTTGTGCACCTCACCACATAGTTCTCAAGTAATGTTATGGTTTTCATCTCTATCCAGTTCTTGGGTCTTCTCTGTCTGATTACTCCAGTTATCCATCACTCCATTCTTTTTCAAGGTTTTTAGTTTATTTGCACTGGTTATGAGTTCTTTGGCTCTGAGAAGTTTGATCGACTGAAGCCTTCTTCTCTCAACTCATCAAAGTCATTCTCCGTCCAGCTTTGTTCTGTTGCTATATGAGCTGCGTTCCTTTGAGGGGGAAATGCGCTTCTGATTTCTGAAATTCCAGTTTTTCTGCACTGCTTTTTCCCCATCTTTGTAGTTTTATCTTACCTTTGGTCTTTGATGAGGTGAGGCATGATGGGGTTTTGGGTGTGGGTGTCCTTTCTGTTTGTTAGATTTCCCTTCTAATAGTCAGGACCTCAGCTGTAGGTCTGTTGGAGCTTGCTTGAGGTCCACTCCAGACCCTGTTTGCTCTGCATCAGCAGCGGAGGCTGCAGAAGATAGAATATTTCTGAGCAGTCAATGTTGCTGTCTGATTCTACCTGGAAGCTTCGTATCAGGGGTGTACCCCATCAGTGAGGTGAGGTGTCAGTCTCACCTAGTGGGGATGTCTCCCCAGTCAGGCTACTCAGGGATCAGGGACCTGAGCATGCAGTCTGTCCGCTCTCAGATCTCAGCGTCCGTGCTGGGAGATCCACTGCTCTCTTCAAAACTGTCAGACAGGGGCATTTACCTCTGCCAAGGTTTCTGCTGCTTTTTGTTTAGCTATGCCCTGTCCCCAAAGGTGGAATCTACAGAGGCAGGCCGTCCTTGAGTGTGGTGGGCTCCACTCCAGTGTGAGCTCTGGAGGCTTTGTTTACCTACGAAGCCCAACACGGTGGGCACCCTTCCCCAGCCTCACTGCCGCCTTACAGTCAGATCTCGGACTGCTGTGCTAGCAATGAGGGAGGCTCCGTGGGCATGGGACCCTCTGGGCCAGGTGTGATATAATCTCCCTGGTATGCCATTTGCTAAAACTCTTGGTAAAGCACAGTATTAGGGTGGGAGTTACCCGATTTTCCAGGTGTTGTGTATGGCCCCAATTTCCTTTGGCTAGGAAAAGTAACTTTCCCCTTGAGCTTCTACAGGTGAGGTGGTGCCTCACCCTGCTTCAGCTCTTGCTGGAGGGGCTGCACCCATGACCAGCCAGTAACTGTCTGACACGCCCAGTGAGATGAACCTGGTACCTCCGGAAAATGCAGAAATCGCTCTCTTCTGTGTTGCTCACGTTGGGAGCTGCAGGCCTGAGCTGTTCCTATTCGGTCATATTGGGTGCACTCTGGGTATAATTTCAAGTAATATTTATGTCTAATTAAGTAACACTAAATATCTAATCAAATATCATCAATATTTGATTATTTAAAAGGAATACATTATGGCAGTGTATCATAACATGGAGAAATACATATTTACTCTTTGTATGATCAAAATAAATACTTAGATATTCATAAATATCCCCAAATTAAAAGTTGAGTTGTTTTCAAATAATAATGTCTATATTGTGGTAGCTGAACATTTTACACTGCCTTTATGCCTGTCTGTTTTAGAAACTGACACACAATCCAAAATCCAAATGAATTAATATTATATAATCTAAGCAGTGTTTTCTGGCTAGTAATTTGTCATAAATAGCTTACTATTTTGTAGATAAGTATTTCTTTATGCTCCTATTCACATAGTAAGAAATGATTTGGGAATAAGAAATTTTTCCACTAAATATGTTGTTTACTAAAAAGTCTTGCATTATATAGTAATTTGGATGAAAATGATTATAAACTTGAATTACAAATACCTTAAATTTTGAAGTCTACGTATGTCCTTTTTAGCTGGGAGTCAGATATCTCCCTTTT